AGAGAGAGAGAGAGAGAGAGAGAGAGAGAGAGAGAGAGAGAGATTAGCTCCAATAGCTGATCTTATACAAACATAGATAATGACTGATTCTAATTTTAACTTTAGATGATCTTCACATAAAGATTTATTTAGTGCCACAATTATATTGATGGCTTTCAGGTATTCTTATTCCTACTTATTTTTCACCCTCTCAGTATCCTGTTCCCCCCACTTTTGTCTTCTTGTCCATTAAAAGCAACATCAGAGGCTACCTTTATTCCTTTCCAACTTCTTGAATTATCTGCAAATACTCAGTTTTCAAGCAAAACCTGCAGCCACTAGTTGGAACAGCTTTCGCTTCTCAGTCATTAAGGTGATATCTATAACAAACGTTCATTAGAAGACATCAACTAGAAAATGTTGGGATACATGGGATTCTGGCTTTGTCACACCTTAGTCAACAAAGATTTATAAAACAGGAAGGGAGCTTAGAGAGATGGGCTGACAGCATCCGATTTATAGATGAGGAAATCTCATGCACCAACATTTAATGACATAATAGTGAAAGCCCACACTCACATCAGAACCCAGTTCTCTGGCTTCTCAAAGCAGTGGGCTTTTTATTCTACCTGTCTCTAAACATATGGGCAGTCAATGCCTGTCCTTTATGATAAATACTAAACAGAAAGACACAGATTCAGTAATAAGTGGGGTTCTCTTTTTTACTTTTCTATTGCTCTTTAATTTACATCTTTTTTTACCTGTCCAAAACGACAGTGACAACAAATACATATTCACGGCAACAGACTCCCAAAGATCACTTTCTCTGCCAGAGTCTTGGAATTATCAGCCCAGCAAGTGGTTGAAAAGGAAACAAAGGAAAGAAAGGGACAAAATAAATTTGAACATTGAGGACCTTGGCAGGTCACCATTACCACTGCAGCTCATTTTCCTTGATTCTCTTTTTTTTTTTGTATATAGACTAGGTAAGAAACAAATTTAGTTTTCTACTGACATTACTTTTCTCCATTTGTTCAATCACTTTGCTGGTTAAGAAACTCTGTCTTATTTGAAGAATTCAGGCCCCTGACCAGCATATAGTTGACCTTGAGTTATTTGGAATAACTAAATTGATGCGTCATGGAATAAGTAAAAGAAATTTATTAGAAATTCTGCTAGTGAAGAACTATTCTGAATGCTGAAATAGCCCAGGATACAGTGCATATTTCTCACATCATTAACTTACACAAAAACATGCCATTGTCAACTACTTTTCAAATTAAGTAGCCTGGACAACTCTTAAAAATGTTTAGTTTGACCCACTCCATGAAAAAGTCAGGTTCACCTCTGCAGTTGTAAATGTAAATCTTGATTGATTTGATAATCTTCAGTGACTGAAAAAATTTTTGTGAAAATGTAGAACAGGTAGGTAAAAAAGAAAATAAATGAAGAAACCCAATGCATGGAAAGTTGGCTCCCGGAGCAGTTTTGCAGAAGGTTTTGGAAATTAAGGCATACCAACATTCCTATCCCTTTCTTCTTCTAAGTTCTTTGTATCTCCGTTATCCCCACATCTCTTGCTCTTCATATCATTTTGAATTCTTATACATATGATTTTTTTCTGAATCTTCCAGACTAACAAATTAATAATGAAATAATAATCTGCAAAAGTAGTTTCCTAAATATCACTTCCAATAGTTGGAACAGCTTTAGCTAGACATATGCATAGTCAAGATCAGAACTGTCTGTATTTTAAATCATTTGCCTTTGTTTTTGATCCTTATTTACAAGTAGCATATCCTGGTCTTCTTTGCTGAAACATTAAAGAGTTTTAAGGTACTTTTTTGTTTATTCTAATTCCAACTCATATTTTCTTCGATCAGACTTATCTGAATATGAAACATAATTTTTAAAATATATAAAACATTTTAGGTGTTATATTTAGAAAATAAGTTTTCTAAGCTAAGCCAATTTTATTTCTTACTTTTTTTTTTGTCTTAGGAAATAATTTCCTGTGTTTTGGAACCTTTGCTTCTTTTCTTTGGACTGTCTTAAGGACATTAAAATGTAACTGTGTTTATCAGACCCAATGCTAAAATAAAAGGACTTCAAAAGTTCTAACATTTGATACCATTAAAAAGGCATAATTTTTAAAAGATATAATTTCTGAGCTAAAGGAGTGTACGAGAGCTAGGCCCTGTGCCTTCGCGTCTTGTATAGTGGCACTTGTGGTGTGGTTGTTTACAAAGGAAAACACAGACTCAGCTTGGCATTTTCTGAAATAGCAGATGAACCTATCACAAATAAAGCACCAGACAAAAATAATTTACCAGGTGCAGATAGATATTGCTCATTGGAAAGATCTAATGACTCTATCAAAAATGGGCAATGTATTCTCTCCTTCTATGAAAGTAATTAATGATTGATTCACAGCTTTACTCTTTTAAAAGTATATGTTCAGGGCTCTACTAAATGTCTGATGATACATGTAAATTATTATCTTTTCCCCTTTTTTTTCCACGGCTCTCCCCTTCACTCTAGTCTTATAATTGTATAAATTATTTAACTGAACTGAATTCCATTATGTTGGCACTTATTGCCATATCTGAATTACACACATATGGGTAGGTTCTTTACTTTCTTATCCCCATTATCTATCATTGTTCATCTGTTGTTACTTTATATCATTAACTGAGGAGAGAATAATTAGAAGAAATAAAGTGACATTGATTGGCTGGTAATATAAACAAGGTATTTGGTATTTTAATATATAATTTGATTTTCACAAAAATCTATGAGCCACAAAAATCTTTTCACATTTATTTGACAGAAGAGTAAACCAAGGCTGGAGTACATAAGTACATTGCTGAAGTGACATAACTACTAACGAAATAAGTGGTAAATCTAAGGTTCAAACAATGATATATATCACCTTATTAAGTTAGTAATTACAAATAATTATTAATGCCTTAAGTGAAAGATATAGGAAGTTGGAACAAAATTTTCTTAGCCGACATATTCATTAGTTTATCAAATAAAAATATCAGAAACCATTTGATAGAAATGTAGTTAAAATATGATAGCAATTTAAGATTTAAAATGTGGGCTTCAACTTCCCCTTCTGCTTACGACGTTGTCATTTTTGGCAAACAGCAAACAATACTCCCATTGAGAATACTTTGCAAAGTCGAAAAACACCCATTCTTTCATCCATTCCCCCACCCCTTCCCACAGACACACACGCGCGCGCGCGCGCGCGCACACACACACACACACACACACACACACACACACACACACACACACAGTTTAAATACAGGGAGAAGCGATGAGGTGGGCAGAACTGGAAGAGCCAACATCTGAAGGGAACTTCAGAGTGATGAGCAGACTTTCTACCTGCTTTTGCCTTTAGAATATTTGCTCATTCTTGGCACTGTGAGAGGTTCAGAATTCAATAAAGGACCACTGCTAAAATAAAGAGAAGTCAATAGGAAATTGGAAATTCTGCAAAACGTGGAAGAAAAAAGAGATTATGCATCTGTCAAGGCAGTCAGTACTTTTGGGACCAAGTCCCTAGAGAGAAAATAAAGATATAAACAGAACATTCAATGGATTTCTTCTTAAGACACTAGATACACTTTTTAGTTGCACTGGATAAAACCTGAGAACACTAACAACTCTAATCAACAGCAGAGTGGAGTTTTAGCAGTCTCATAGTGCTAAGGAGATTAAAGAGGAGCTCAGTACCCATCGAGAAGGTCCATCACTAGCAGAGATCCCAGGCTTCTAGTTAGGAATGATAGAGGGCTATGCCTGGTGCCGGGCTGGAACAGAGGTAGATCAAGCCTTACAAATTAACTTCACTCTGATTGTCAAAATAATGGCTACATTTTCTTTGAAGATAGGTAAAATACTATAATCCTCTATTATGTTTTATACAGAATATATGGCATTTGCTTAATAGCTACTGAGAAAACAAATAATCCCAAGATACAAAAGAAAAAGATGACAGAAATACACACATAGATTATTAAGTTAGTAGAGTTATCATATGTAAATCTTAGACCTAAAGTAGACAACAATGAGTAAAATTACTCCAGAGAACTATGAAACATAAAAATAAATGGAAATTAAAGAACTAAAAAATAATGTACGAATGAAATTGATGGATTTAATAGCAGATTACACACAGCAAAAGAGAAATCAGTAAAAAAAAAAAATCCAGGTAAAAATAAGAATAAAACTGGAAAATGAAAACAAAATACTTATCAGAAAATATGAAAAGTAATTAAATCATCTAAGGTATATGTAATTAGTTACCTTATAAAAGAATGGTACAAAAAGTGTTAGTATTTTTTGAGGCAAGATAGCCAAATAGGAACAGCTCCAGTGTACAGCTCCTGTTGAGATTGATGCAGAAGGCAGGTAATTTCCACATTTCCAACTGAAGTACCTGGGTTCATTTCACTGGGACTGCTGGGACAGTAGGTGCAGCCCAAGAAGGGAGAGCTGAAGCAGGGTGGGGCGTCACCTCACCTGGGAAGTGCAAGGGGCCAGGAAACTACCTCTCCTAGCCAATGGGAGCTACTAGGGACTGTTTCCTAAACTCCAGCCCAGATACTGCACTCACTTTTCCCATGGTCTTCATACCTCACAGACAGGAAATTCCCTCTGGTACCTCCACAACCTCCAAGGCCCTGGGTTTCCAGCACAAAACTGGGTGGCTGTTTGGGCAAAAATCGAGCTGGCAACAGTTTTTTTTTTTTTTTTTTTTTTCCTCATCCCAGTGGTGCCTAGAATGTCACAAGACAGAACCTGGCAGGAAAGGGGGCAAAAGCCATGGAGCCAAGTGGTCTGTCTTGGTGGGTTTCACCCCTACAAAGACGAGAAAGCTAATCTACTGGCTTGAAATTATCGCAGGCAGCACAGCAGTATGAGCTCAACCTGAGTCATTCGAGCTTGGTGACAGGAGGGGTGTGCTCCATTGCTGAGGCTTGAGTAGGCAATTTCAACCCCAGTGTAAGCAAAGCTGCCGGGAAATCAGAATGGGGCAGAGCCCAACACAGATCAGCAGCTACAGGCACTGTCTCACTACATGTCCTCACCAGGCACAGCATTTCTGAAAAAAGGCAGCAGCCCATAAGGAAGTTATAAATAAAACCAGCACCTTCCTGGGAAAGAACATCAGGGCAAACGGGCAGTCGTGGGTACAGCTTCAGCAGACCTAACTGTCCCTGCTTGGCAGCACTGAAGGGAGCAACAGATCTCCCAGCACAGTGTTCAAGCTCTGATAAGGGACACGTTGCCTCCTCAAGGGACTCCCAGACCCCCAAGTATTTTGACTGGGAGACACCACCTAGTAGGGGCAAACAGATACCTTATACAGGAGAGCTCTGGTTGTCATCTGGTGGGTACCTTTCTGGGACAACACTACCAAATAAAGGAATAGGTAGCAATCTTTGCTGTTCTGCAGCTCCTGCTGGTGATTCCCAGGCAAGCAGGGTCTGAAGTGGACCTCCAGCAAACTCCAGCAGACCTGCAGTAGAAGGTCCTGACTGTGAGAAGGAAAACTAACAAGCAGAAAGAAACAGTTCCAACATCAACAAAAAGGACATGTAATCAGAGACCCCATCCAAAGGTCACCAACCTCAAAGACCAAAGGAAGATAAATTCATGAAGATGGGAAGAAACCGTTGCAAAATAGGCTGAAAACTCCAAAAACCAGAATGTCTCTTCTCCTTTAAGGGATCATAGCTCCTCATCAGCAAGAAAACAAAACTGGATGAAGAATGAGTTTCATGAATTGACAGAATCAGGCCTCAGAAGGAGGGTAATAACAAACTTCTTTGAGCTAAAGGAGCATGTTCTAACCCAATGCAAGGAAGCCGAGAACCTTGAAAAATGTTAGACAAAATGCTAACTGGAATAACCAGTGTAGGGAAGAACATAAACAACCTGATGGAGCTGAAAAGCACAGCGCAAGAAACTTCTTGAAGCATACACAAGTTTCAACAGCTGAATCGATCAAACAAAAGAGAGGATATCAGAGATTAAAGATCAACTCAATGAAGTAAAGGGAGAAGGCAAGATTAGAGGAAAAAGAGTCAAAGGAAATGAACAAAGCCTCCAAGAAATATGGTATTTTGTGAAAAGACTGAATCTATGTTTGATCAGTGTACCTGAAAGTGACAGGGAGAATGAACCCATGTTGGAAAATACTCTTCAGGACATTGTCCAGGAGAACTTCCCCAACCTAGCAAGATAGGCCAACATTCAAATTCAGGAAATACAGAGAACACCACAAAGATACTCCTTGAGAAGAGCAACCCCAAGACACATAATTGTCAGATTCACCAGGGTTGAAATGAAGGGAAAAAAAGCTAAGAGCAGCCAGATAGAAGGGTCAGATTACCTACAAAGCCTATCAGACTCATAGCGGATCTCTTGGGAGAAACCCTACAAGCCAGAAGAGACTGGGTGCCAATATTCAACATTCTTAAAGAAAAGAATTTTCAACCCAGAATTTCATATCCAGCCAAACTAACCTTCATAAGTGAAGGAGAAATAAAATCCTTTACGGACAAGTAACTGTTAAGAGATTTCATCACCACCAGGCCTGCCTTACAAGAGCTCCTGAAGGAAGCACTTAACAAGGAAAGGAACAACTGGTACCAGCCACTGCAAAAACATACCAAATGGTAAACACCATTGACGCTAGGAAGAAACTGCATCAACGAATGGGGAAAATAACCAGTTAGCATCATAATGGCTGGATCAAATTCACACATAACAATATTAACCTTAAATGTAAATGGGCTAAATGCCCCAATTTTAAAAAGACTGGCAAATTGGATAAAGAGTCAAGACCCATTTGTGTGCTGTATTCAGGAGACCCATCTGACATGCAAAGACAAACATAGGCTCAAAATAAAGAAATGGCGAAAGATTTATGAAGCAAATGGAGAGCAAAGAAAAGCAGAGGTTGCCATCTTATTCTCTGATAAAACAGACTTTAAACCATCAAAGTTCAAAAGAGACAAAGAAGGGCATTACATCATGGTAAAGGGATCAATACAACAAGAAAGGTTAACTATTTTAAATATATATGCACCCAATGCAGCAGCATCCAAATTCATAAAGCAAGTTCTTAGATACCTACAAAGAGACTTATACTTCCACACAATACTAGTGGGAGACTTTAACACCTCCCTTTCAATATTAGACAGATGAACAAAACAGAAAATTAAAAAGGATATTCATGTCTTGAACTCAGCTCTGGACCAAGGGACCTAATAGACATCTACTGAAGCCTCCACACCAAATTAACAGAATATACATTCTTCTCAGCACCACATTACACCTATTCTAAAATTGGCCACACAACTGGAAGTAAAATACTGCTCAACAAATGCAAAAGAATGTAAATTATAACAAACAGTCTCTCAGACCATAGTGCAATCAAGTTAGAACTCAGAATTAGGAAACACACTCAAAATCACATAACTACATGGAAACTGAACAACCTATTCCTAAACGACTATTGGATAAATAATGAAATGAAATCAGAAATAAGGTTATTCTTTGAAACTAATGAGAACAAAAATACAACATACCAGAGTCTCTGGGACACATTTAAAACAGTGTCTAGAGGGAAATTTATAGTATTAAATGCCCAACAGAGATGGCAAGGAAGATCTAAAATTGACACCCTAATGTCACAATTAAAAGAACTAGAGAAGCAAGAACAAACAAAATGAAAAGCTGGCAGAAGACAAGAAATAACTAAGATCAGAGCAGAACTCAAGGAGATACAGACACACACACACACACACACACACACACACACACACACTCTCATTCTCTCTCTCTCTCTCAAAAAATCGATGATCCAGGAGCTGGTTTTTTAAAAATATCAACGAAATAGGTAGACCGCTAGCCAGACTAATAAAGGAAAGAAAAAAGAATCAAACAGATGCAATAAAAAATGACAAATGCACTATTACCACCAATCCCATAGAAATGCAAACTACCATCAAGAATACTATAAACATCTCTATGCAAATAAAACAGAAAATCTAGAAGAAATGAATAAATACCTGGACACCTTCACCCTCCCAAGACTAAACCAGGAAGAAGTTGAATCCCTGAATAGACCAATAACAAGGTCTGAAATTGAGGCAGCAATTAATAGCCTGGAGATGGCAGGGACTTATGCCAAGAATAGGAACAGCTCCAGTGCACAGTTCCCAGCGAGAGTGACACAGAAGGCAGGTGATCTCCACATATCCAACTGAAGTACAAGGCTCATCTCGTTGGGACTGGTTAGAAAGTGGGTGAAGCCCATGGAGGGTGAGGATTTGCCTCATCCAGGAAGTGCAAGGGGCCAGAGAACTCCCTCTCCTAGCCAAGGGAAGCCATTAGGGAGTTTTCCTGACACTCTGGCACTCTGCTCAGATACTGCACTTTTCCCATGGCATTCACAACACCAGCGCCAGGGTTTCCAGCACAAAAGTGAGGCGGGGGGTGGGGGGCATTTTAGCAGCAGATTTTTTCTTCTCTTCTCATACCCAAGTGGCACCTGGAATGCCAGTGAGAACAGTTCATTCCCCTGAAAAGGGGGGCTAAAGCTAGGGAGCCAAATGATCTGGCCTGGTGGGTCCCACCCCCATGAAAACCAGCAAATTAAGATCTACTGGCTTGAAATTCTCTCAGCCAGCAGAGTAGTCAGAGCTCAAACTGGGACATTCCAGCTCAGTGGGGGGATAGGGGTCCACCATTGTTGAGGCTTGGGTAGATGGTTTTAACCACAGCTGTGTAACAAAGTCACCAGGAAGTTTACATAGCAACTGGGCAAAGCCCACAGCAGCTCAGCAAGGCCTCTGCAGGCAGACTGTCACTATACTCCCTTCTTGCTGGGAAGGGCATCTCTGAAAAAAGGCAGCAGCTCCTCAAGGACTTACAAATAAAGCCCCCACCTTCCTGGGACAGAGCACCTGGGAAAAGGGGCAGTTGTGGGTTCAGCTTCAGCAGACTTAAACATCCCTGCCTGGCAGCTCTGAAGGGAGGAACAGGTCTCCCAATACAGTGCTAGAGCTCTGATAAGGGACAGATTGCCTACTCAAGTAGCTCCCTGACCTCTGTGTATCCTGACTGGGAAACACCTCCCAGCAGGGGCTGACACTCATACAGGAGAGCTCTGGTTGGCATCTGGTAGGTACACTTTTGGGATGAACAGAGAGCAATCTTTGCTGTTTTTCAGTCCCCGCTGCTGATTCCCAGGCAAGCAGGGTCTGAAGTGGACCTCCAGCAAACTCCAGCAGACCTACAGTAGAGGGGCCTGATTGGTAGAAGGAAAACTAACAAACATAAAGAAGTATTTTCAACATCAAAAGAAAGAACATCAACCCGGAGACCCCACTCAAAGCTCATCAACTTCAAGACCAAAGGTAGATAAATCCATGAAGATGGGAAGAAACCAGTGCAAAAAGCTGAAATCTCCGAAAACCAGAAGGCCTCTTCTCCTCCAAAGGATCATAACTCCTACCAGCACAGGAACAAAACTGGATGGAGAATGAGTTTGATGAATTGACATAATCAGGCTTCAGAGGGTGGGTAATAATAAACTACTCTGATCTAAAAGAGCATGTTCTAACCTAATGCAAGGAAGCTAAGAACCTTGAAAAAAGTTAGACAAAATGCTAACTGTAATAACCAGTGTAGAGAACATAAATGACATGGAGCCGAAAAACACAGCACAAGAACTCTATGAAGCATACACAAGTTTCAATAGCTGAATCTATCAAACAGAAGAGAGGATATCACAGATTGAAGATCAACTCCATGAAATAAAGGGAGAAGGCAAGATTAAAGGAAAAAGAGTGAAAAGAAATAAACAAAGCCTCCAAGAAATATGGGATTGTGTGAAAAGACCCAATCTACATTTGATTGGTGTACCTGAAAGAGACAGGGAGAATGAACCCATGTTGGAAAGCACTCTTCAGGATATTATCCAGGAGAACATCCCCAACCTAGCAAGACAGGCCAACAATCAAATGCAGGAAATACAGGGAACACCACAAAGAAACTCCTCAAGAAGAGCAATCCCAAGACATTTAACTGTCAGATTCACCAGGGTTGAAATGAAGGGAAAAAATGCTAAGGGCAGCCAGAAAGAAAGGTCAGGTTACCCACAAACGGAAGCCCATCAGACTCACAGTGGATCTCTTAGCAGACACTCTACAAGCCAGAAGAAAGTGGGAACCAATATTCAACATTCTTAAAGAAAAGAATTTTCAACCCAGAATTTCATATCCAGCCTAACTAAGCTTCATAAGTGAAGGAGAAATAAAATCCTTTACGGACAAGCAACTGCTAAGAGATTTTATCACCATTAGGGCTGCCTTACAATAGCCCTTGAAGGAAGTACTAACCATGGAAAGAAACAGCCAGTACCAGCCACTGCAAAAACATACCAAATTGTAAAGACCTTCAATACTATGAAGAAACTACATCAACTAATGGGCAAAACAACCAGGTAGCATCATAATGTCTGGATTAAATTCACATATAACAATATTAACCTTAAATGTAAATGGGCTAAATATCCCAATTAAAAGACAAAATGTTTCAATTGAAAGACAAAGATGGGCAATTTGGATAAAGAGTCAAGACTCATTGGTGTGCTATATTCAGGAGACCCATCTCAAGTACAAAGACACACAAAGGCTCAAAATTAAGGGATGGAAGATTTACCAAGCAAATGGAGAGCAAAAAAAAGCAGGGGTTGCAATCCTAGTCTCTGATAAAACAGACTTTAAACCAACAAAGTTCAAAAGAGACAAAGAAGTGCATGACATAATGGCAAAGAGATCAATGCAACAAGAAGATCTAACTGTCCTAAATATATACGCACCCAATACAGGAGCACCCAGATACATAAAGCAAGTTCTTAATGACCTACAAAGAGACAGACTCCCACACAATAACAGTGGGAGATTTTAACACCCCACTGTCAATATTAGATCAATGAAACAGAAAATTAACAAGGATATCCAGGACCTGAACTCAGATCTGGACCAAGCAGACCTAATAGATATCTACAGAATAATAGTTGGAAGTAAAATATTCCTCAGCAAATTCAAAAATGGAAATCATAACAGTCTCTCAGACCACAGTGCAATCAAATTAGAATTCAGGATTAAGAAACTCACTCAAAACCACACAACTACATGGAAACTGAACATCCTGCTCCTGAATGACTACTGGATAAACAATGAAATGAAGGCAGAAATAAAAATGTTCTTCAAAACCAATGAGAGCGAGGAAACAATGTACCAGAATCTCTGGGACACATTTAAAGCAGTGTCTACAGGGGCATTTATAGCATTAAATTCCCATAAGAGAGGCAAGGAAAGATCTAAAATTGACACCCTAACATCACAAGTAAAAGAACTAGAGAAGCAAGAACAAACAAATTCAAAAGCCAGCAGAAGAAACAAGAAATAACTAAGATCAGAGCAAAACTGAAGGAAATAGAGACATCCAAAATCCTTAAAAAAAAAATCAATAAATCCAGGAGCAGTTTTTTTTTTTTTAAAGATAGACAAAACAGACAGATTGCTAGCCAGACTAATAAACAAGAAAAGAGAGAAAAATCAGAGATGCAATAAAAAATGATAAAGGAGTTATCACCATCAATCCCACAGAAATACAAATTACCAATAGCGATTACTACAAACACCTCTATGCAAATAAACCAGTAAATCTAGAACAAATGGATACATTCCTGGACACTTACACCCTACCAAGACTAACTCAGGAAGAGGTTGTATCCCTGAATTGACAAATAACAAGGTCTGAGACTGAGTCAACAATTAATAGCTTACCAACCAAAAGATGTCCAGGACCAGATGGGTTCACAGCCACATTCTACAGAGATACAAAAGGAGCTGGTACCATTCCTTCTGAAAATATTTCAAACAATGCAAAAAGAGGGAATCCTCCCTAACTCATTTTATGAGACCAACATCATCCTGACACCAAAACTTGGCAGGGACACAATTAAGAAACAAGTTTCAAGCCAATATCCATGATGAACTTTGATGCAAAAATCCTCAATAAAATACTGGCAAACTGAATACAACAGCATATCAAAAAGCTTATCCATCACAATTAAGTCAGCTTCCTTTTTAGGATGCAAGGCTGGTTCAACATATGCAAATCTATAAACGTAATCCATCACATAAACAGAACCAAAGACAAAAACCACATGATTATCTCAATACATGTAGATAAGGCCTTCTACAAAATTCAACACCCCTTTATGCTAAAAACTAAAAAAAACTAGGTATTGATGGAATGTATCTCAAAATAGTAACAGCTATTTATGACAAACCCACAGCCAATATCATACTGAAGGAGCAAAAACTGGAAGCATTGCCTTTGAAAATTGGTGCCCTCTCTCACCACTCCTATTCAACATAGTACTGGAAGTTCTAGCCAGAGAAATCAGGCAAGAACAAGAAATAAAGGTATTCAATTAGGAAAAGAGGAAGTCAAATTGTCTCTATTTGCAGATGACATGATTGTATATTTAGAAAACCCCATCATGTTAGTCCAAATCTCCTTAAGCTGATAAGCAACTTCAGCAATGTCTCAAGATACATATCAACGTGCCAAAAAAAAAAAAAAAATCACAGGCATTCCTACACACCAGTAATAGAGAGGCAAATTATGAGTGAACTCCCTTTCACAATTGCTACAAAGGGAATAAAATACCTAGGACTACAACTAACAAGTGATGTGAAGCACCTCTTCAAGAACTACCAACAAATTGTGAAGGAAATAAGAGAGGACACAAACAGATGGAAACACA